AGGCTTTGATTTCAAGGCCGTTATTAAACCTGTCAGGTTCTGTCTTTTAGGAGGTCTTCAAAAAAAATCTCTTGCTTTTGCAAGTGTGCATCAGAAACAAACCTATGAGAACTTACAGTTTCCCTCATTCTGTCATTTGAACAAATAAATCTCTATCAATTACATTCTTAAAACTGAAATGATCTTTTAGTATTGCTGCAAACATGTTTACCCTTCTGTGCAGTAATTAAAATCTGAAAACATCCTCATCTTCTTTCCTTTTTTTTCTTTTTCCTTCTGTGCAGTAATTAAAATCTGAAAACATCCTCATCTTTCCTTTTTTTTTTCTTTTTTAAATAACCTAATATGTAACTAAGAGTAAATTGAAACCTGACTTGCTGGACTGGTTTGCTAGTCTACTGGCAATTTTCTTCCCTTCATGGTCTTTGACAATATTTTTTCTCTAGTCAGTATTAATTTTCTTTCACTAGTGTGCTGGACCACTGCTTGATTCATGGTACGGGAAAAGCATAAGAAAAATCTGCAAGCAATACAAATATTTGTAAATACTCCTCTAAGCAAAACTCTTAAAGCACTGTAAACAGAATTTCAATAAAAACTCAAATAATTCTGATTTCACCTCCTTTTTCATAATTTAATATATTTTCTTTTATCCCTGTTCCTGTGCATCTAGCCCAAGGCGGTGCAATGAATACAACCAGGGCAATAAACCATCCCAGTCTACAGCACTGTCCTCTTGTAGTCCCTCAGCAAAGCCCCTTTTTAGGGTGATGCAGATATTAGCCAAAGGACCTCCTTTCTGCTGGTGCTCCAAGCCTGGACAGCACTATCCAAGTCTGCAGCTTTGAAGGAGGCTGCCTCCACACTGAGGCCTCAGGGGCAGCTTCTGCTCTCGTGCAGTACAAAGCAGAGCCAAGATTCGAGACAGAATTTCTGGTTTGTTTATCAGAATGGGAATGAGCATTTTCAGTCACACACAACTACTTCAAATATATTCTGTATGGAGCTAATCACTAAATTCTAGAATAATATTTTGCCATGTATTTCATTTCATTATCTACTCACATACCATTTAAACAACCTCATTCAACTCGATTCCTCAAGCATTTTCAGGACATGCCTTAAGTACCTGGGTGGTGGCCAGATCGTTGAACAGCCCCTAATATCCCATCAAGAGTAGGAAGGTTCAGAGCGAGTTTGATCTGATTATTGCTTTTGTTAACTTGATTTAGAGCAGCTCCTCGAGGCTCCAGCTAACACTGCTCATCACCGCATGGGGCCATGCCAACTTTTTCTATTTTGAGCTCTTCAAGATGGCCTAAGAAAGGGCGAGGGGGGAGCGACTCGCTCAAGGTCAGTGGCACAGAAGGATCTCCAGCCCACAGTCTGCTGAACTCCCTGACATTTACAGTGCTCACCAAATGCCCCCCGACACAGACCACTGTCTCCTCCTCCTCCTTTTCCGATCCCTGCCAACTAATCTTCAGGTACTGCAGAAACTCCAATCCGGATCCTTGGGGAAGCGCTGCAGTGGGCTTACTCGACAGCCATGAGCCCTTCAGGAGTTTCTTTTACCTTTGCTGATGCCCTGCCAAGTGTTATTATCCTGTCTCAGTCCCTGGCAGGGACTGACTGGGAAGGGCATACGACAGCTGGTGGACCTGAAAAGGCAGACTGGAATATTCCACATTTAAGAAAGGGCTGTACATAGGGACAAAACTCAAAACGTTAAAAAAAAACCCAAAGACTACAAAATATGTGTAATTAATTAACACCCTTCAGATTAAATCAGTACATTTTAGGCAATATATACATTTGCTTGCTTTACACTGCTCCTTTATTCAACTGCACAGTAAGTTTCATTATAGTGGTAAGTAAAAGGGACGGCAGATACAATTCCCATGGTACAAAACCCTAAGGGTATCCGTGTAATAAATGAAAACAGTGGTTTTGTCTGCTCAGGTTCATGATTTATCTGCATGTATGGGATTGAACCGTGGCTGCTTCATTATAAATCTCCTCTAGCTCATGTTATCTACACTACCTCTATTTCTCCCAATAAACTGCATCCGATTTTCTTCCTCCTGTGACCTATTTAATGTTTTGTTTAATACTTTTGATACCTGACTCAGAAGCAATCTCCTTCTCACGTTGTTTATTTGCAACATAAATAGGAAAAGACTGAATTCCAAGCCCTCGCATCCCGAAACATGAGAAAAAGCAAAGATGCATCGGTATTTTTATCTGATCCCAGCTCTACCATGGGCCAAAATAAAGCTCGGGTCACTGAAGTTGAAGGCTACTTGCAGCCGGAGCCAGTTTTGGTTTATTTCTTCAGCCTATAGTGGCAGCCATTGCAGGAAAAAGGACCCCGGCCCTCTCCCATCATGCCTTTTCAATTCCTTTTCATTCATCTAGAGAACCAACTTACGTGAAATTAGGACAAGTTACAGCAGGACAAGAATCATTTTGCCAGGCTTCCCAGGTAAGACAACATCATGTCAGAAGATCAAAACAAACAGCTTCTTCCCTGAGACTTTCCTTACCAAAGCTGCATGGATTTTACAGATTTAATGGCACTGACCTCTTACAACATCACTGATATTTATTAGTACAGAACAGAAGACGTGACCTACTAAATCATCAGTCTCCTGGTTACTGCCTAAGTGGAGTTTCTGGCCATCGTGCTATAAAAAGATGAAGCCCTGAAATTCAATGGGAAGTATAAAATGTACATTGCATCTCAGAAGAAGCAATGCTAAATGACTTAGACACATGCGATCCTTTTTTCCTTCCCATGATAAACGAAATTACCTCAACTGAGAAGCTTGAGGCATGATCTCATTCCATAAAGCCCACTTAAACTTGAAAAATAATTAAATGATAGTGCATTCCTGCTGCAGGCCCTCTTTGCTAGGGTAAATGACACCTAATGGAAAAGCTACTTTCAGCTTACAGCAAAATACTTTTCTCTGCGTTATCTCAACACGCTTGGTATCTTTGGAATACAATGCTGCTTTTCACTGTTCCATGTGGTGAAGTTTCTCCTCTAGAGAAAATAAAAAGTTTTGTATATGAGAAGCTCTAATTTGGTGGCTCCACTAACACATTAATACAGGATTTTGTAGAAGGTATGGTACACATTTAGGCACATATATATATAAAAAAATACACACTAAAATGAGATATACAGTAGTTTTCATTTCTGTGAAAAAAGGACTAGGAAACATTCTCCTAAGAGTATACTTGTTTTCTGTGTATCTGCTGTGCCTGTAGTGACACAACATCACCCGGAAGGTGAAATTACGTACAGAAACAGAACCAGCATCAGAAAACTCATCCAGACGCAGAGTTTGTCTGAATACCTGTATCTTTTCCAGGCACACCTACAGGATGAAGCAGTCCTTCTGCTATGACGTTGCCTGCAATGATCAGGAAGGAGCCCAGCAAAGACTGAACTCCCCTTTCCCACCTCCCTAAGTTAGTGAGAAAACCTTGACAGGAGTAGCCCTGAACTATTTTTGCTAATCAGAGGTCGGTAGGTTTGAAGGCCAAAATAAACCACAACTAGCTTTATGGATTTAGGAGACAACATTATGTACAGGGACTCACAAATATGGGGAATAGAGTCTTCAAAGAAGGAAGTAGACAATGTGCTTTTCTTGCTTCTCCACCACTTTTTTAGCTACTTTGCAAACAAAGGGAGAACATGGTTCTGAAAGATCTGATATTGCAGGTTTACCTTGCTTGCTCTGTACCTTGATTAAGATGCTGTTTTGTAAGCTAATAAAATCACCACAAGCAAATTCTAGTCTCCTGTTTTTTCTTTGCTTGCATAGAAATTAACAGTAACTTTAGGTACCCTGAGAGTACAGATGTAAATGCAATGTAAAGCAAATCAATATGCATGTGGGCAAACATTACTTAGAATTACACTGGTTTTAGTCTAAAACCAGCACACTGGTTTTGCTAAGCCTTGCCTACTCAATATAAAGAGTGATCATAAACACGTCATTAAAAAATCTGCCAATCATTACATCCCAGACTGATATCCGATGAAAAAGTAACACTAATGTTCATGTCAACAAACAAACACTTGAAGTTTTGAGTTCAAATTACATCTAATGGTAAAAATGACATTTCATGGTTTCTCTTAGTCCCGTTGCATTCATCAGGCTACCACGAAATGGCACAACCAGCATTCGTATCATGGTATCCAAGGAGGACACAACAGCATTGACAACATAACGGCATTAAGACACATTCATTCTTGTCCTACGCTATTCAATATTATGACACTGTTAAGCCTATATTGTCAAATGTATATGCTTCACATTAATTAATTTTTAACAACACTGCCCTTCTTCCCACGGCATTTTATCAATGATTACTACTTACTGTTAGATTTCACATTAATGGTTTACTTCTTGAATAGAATAAAAATCTCTATTACTTGTCAATCTTTTGATCTCTTCTTGTTTCAAAATTAGCACAGGTTTCATTCATCCTAGCCTTCTGAAAATAAATAGCTTGCAGTACAAAATAGCCAGGAAAGGCATATGAAACAAATAATCTTTCTCAATTAACTTACCCAAATGTATGAATGTAATTGAACTCACATACTAGAATTCTTTTTACTTGTTTCACTTATATTTTAGAAGAGCGCTTTATTCTATGAAGGACAGCTTAAAGCAAGTATGACAGTTACAAACTGTAAGGTACACAAATATGCCTGGTAATAGAGGTCCTATAACTATAGGAAACAGGCTACCTGTTTGTTACAGGTGCGCACTAAACACTTCAATAATTTAAGTAAATGGATGTCTTACACTCATCACTGCATTTTGTAATTTTAGAGGATGACCATCTATTAAAATCTCAATAGCAAAACATAACATTAAATACAGAATGTCAAAATGCTGCCTTCAATTACACTCATACAATCCTAGATGACCCTGTATACAAAATTTAAAGCATTTAAAAATTAAAAACAACTTCACCTTTAACATTCTTTCCAAATCCCATAGAGGCAGGAACTGCACTGTCTGCTTGTATTTTACTATTTGTTTTCTCCTTCATGACTTCATCATCACTTGAAACATCATCAGAGGTCATCTTCTTTTTCTTTTTCTTTTTTTTATGTCGAGGAGGGAGCTTTTTAGGAAAGGTAAACATGGGAAATATCACAAGGAGCATTGCAATGGCACAAAGGAGAAATCCGCTCCACCTAATGCCAGGAGACAGAAACAGAAATGAAAGCCAACGCGTTACATGAATTAAAAAAACCAAAGTGATTATTACAGGCTGTACTGGCTGGAAAGACATATTTGCAAAATATGGAACATTGACATTAAGAGTAAAGGATTGGAGTGGGGGAGAGCCTTCACTGCACTAAAACCCTTAATTAGAAGATGTTTCTGTTGGCTTGTCTACTGATAAAGATATTTATCCAGAACCCACCAAATATTATGAAATAGTGTCAGCTTTGAGTTCCCATAAATTTTCACTTTTAGTAATTATTCAGTACCGAGTGCTAAGAAGTAGATACTCACTTTTACTTTGCCTTTCTTGGATGATTCCCAGTAAAGCAATACAGTATTCCTCTGGAGAACATGAAAAACGTTATCCATGGCATGAGAAGATAAAATGTCCAGATGGATACATCAGGGCTAAATCTGTTCTGCTTTCCAGTGCCTACCTCTCACTGCCCTGACTGTCCAATTCTTTCCCTTCCCAATGAAGAGCTCCCAAAGCCTGACTGTAAACAACTGATGTGTTGCAGTTCACGCCAGGGTTTATGCCTAAAACTTTGCTGCTCTGTTCTGTGACCACAACCTGAAATATCCCTTCACGAAGAATTCCCTCTTCTCTCCCTGTCTTATAAGAACAGGATATAAACAACCCTGCAATGATCCCTTGGCTCACACGGAATGACTTGGGACATACCCAAAGAAGGGGCAACGTATGGGATGCCAGAAAAGTGCCCTTCAGACTGCAGGCATACAGTTACCCTCCCTGAGGCCAAGAAGCTTAATGAACTTTACCACAGCAACATAGATGGGCAAAAGGGCCTTACTAGAAAGTACGCTACAATTAGCCTTCTACAGTCAGAAGGCTGATAGTAGAGTATCAGATAACATAATTTGTCCTCTGAGTTCATCTTGCAATGAAAGACTACAGTGAAACATGGATAAACTCACATAGATCCTTCCATAAAGGAGGACAACCTCAGAATTCACCCACAGAGTTCTTCCCACGTACTGAAAGTGCAATTCTCACTATATACTAATCTAATTGTACTGGGGTTACGTGGCAAGGTTTTGGTAGTGGGGTGGAGGCTGCAGGGGTGCTTCTGTGAGAAGACACCATGAGCTGCCCCCATGTCGGACAGAGCCAGCTCCAGCCAGCTCCAAAACAGATCCGCCACTGCCCAAAGCTGAGCCTATCAGCAATGCTGGTGGCAACTCTGTGGTAACTTATTTAAGAAAGGGTAAAAAACAGTGCACAGCAGCTGAGTAAGGGGAGTGAGAAAACGTGAGAGAAACAGACCTGCAGACACCAAGGTGAGAGAAGAAGGAGGGGGAGGAGGTGCTCCTGGTGCTGGAGCAGAAAGTCCCTTGCAGGCCCAGGATAAGACCATGGTAATGCAGATTGTTCCCCCACAGCCCATGGAGGACCACGGTGGAGCAGATATCCACCTGCAGCCTGTGGAGAGCCTGTGCTGGAGCAGGCTCCTGGCAGGACCTGTGGCCCCCTGGAGAGAGGAGCCCACACAGGAGCAGCTTTTCTGGCAAGACCTGTGACACATGGGGGACCCACACTGGAGCAGTCTGTTCCTGAAGGACTGCACCCTGTGGAAAGGACCCATGGGTCCTTTAGTAGTTAATGAAAGACTGTCTCCCATGTGAGGGACCCCACACTGAAGCAGGGGAAGAGTGTGAGGAGGAAGCAGCAGCAGAGACAAAGTGTTATGAACGGACCGCAACCCCCATTCCCCGTCCGCCTGCACCACTCGGGGCAGAGGAGGCAGAAGAGTCAGGAGTGAAGTTGAGCTTTGGAAGAAGGGAGGGGTGGGGGGAAAGTGTTTGGGGGGTGTGTGTGTGTTAATTCTTACTATCCTAGTCTTTAATTAATTGGCAATAAATTAAATTAATTTCCCTAAGTCAAGTCTGTTTCACCCATGATGGTAATTGGTGAGTGTTCTCCCTGTCCTTATCTCAACACACAAGCTTTTCATCAAATTTTCTCCCCGTCCTGCTGAGGAGGGGGAGTGAGAGAGCAGCTTGGTGGGCACCCGGCAGCCAGCCAAGGTCAACCCACCACACTAATCTACACTAGTGTTTGGAAGTTTCAGTGAAGTCAGTCACATTACTGCAATATCAAATGATATTCAGTGAAAGACTGAAGCTCTTTGCTTTCAAATCACAGTTTACAGAACTGTGGTGGCTTGACCCTGGCTGGACGCCAGGTGTCCACCAAAGCCGCTCTATTGCTCCCCTCCTCAGCAGGACAGGGGGAGAAAATATAATGAAAGGCTCGTGGGTTGAGATAAGGACGGGGAGATCACTCGGCAATTACTGTCATGGGCAAAACAGACTCGACTTGGGGAAAATTAATTTAATTTATTGCCAATCAAATCAGAGTAGGGTAA